TCAAAGTGTCAGTAGATCCCACCAGGCATCAAAATATTACAAAAGTGTGAATTATTATTATTATTATTTTTGCAATAAATAGTTGAAGCTGAATACAAAAACAATTATGCAGCTCTGTATTTGTTAATACATCCTTAAAATATATTTTTTTTAAATTGTACTTTTTTTAAATGCAAGCAGTGTAAGTACCATAATTTGACTTAGTATCAGCCTCTCGCAGTCCCTGTTTAGCAAAGTTCACAGATGAGGCGGGAGAAGCAGCACAAAAAGCAGAATGTTTATAGGAGGAGAGAGCTGAGTGATGGAGAGATGAGCTCATCAGTGTGCTGCTTCTCCTTTCACTGTTGAGTCACAGCGTGGGGCGGAGAACTGTAAGTGACAGTAATGCTGCAGCAAATATTAGGTTGCCTTTGTGGCAGAGCGGTGAAAATCTCAGGGCTGCATATACAGAAGTACAAATCCAGTAGCAGGTAAAACAACTGCTATATGCATATTTTATTTGTGTCCTAAGTGGGTTGTCTGAAGTTTAGCCATAAGTGTACCTGTAAAAAAACATGTTCACATAATAACCTACCTGACCTGCCTTTAACACTTAACTTCCCCCCCAATTCCCTACCATTGTGTTTGCTTGCCATAACCCCCAGAAAAGGCCCTGTTGAAGTCTCAGGTTGGTCTGGGTCAAAATGTACTACAGACCTGACACCTTGTGAACCTGGCAATTGGACACCATGGCACCCACCGCAGCACTGTAGGAGAGGGAAGATATTTGCATGTTACCCATACCAAAAATTCCTTGGGGCACAGCAGGTATACCGGATAGCACAGATCAGCTGGGAAAGGGGCTTGAAGTCTATTAACCAAACGTGATACTTTGCCTCGAATGGCAAAATACAGATTGGCTTTAACCTCTGCATGTCTATTTCCCTTGAACCTGTATTTATTCTCATGAGTCGGTATTATGTGTCCACCGAAACAGACCTTTCAAAGAACCTCAGTCATCATCATTCTAAAACAAACAACATTTTGACTTTTTAGATACAAAATATGAAAAGGTGTTATATGCTTTAGTGAACTGATGCCTTATTCTAGCGTACAGATAGTAAACATGTTAGGAGGGATACCACTATTATATAACACACAGGCTATATGCTGACATTTTATGATGCTTATTTTAGAACACATGTCCTGAATTTACAGCAACTAATGTGGCACACAGTGTACACCAGAAATAGCTTCATGTCACCCAAACCATTTCTTCTCTGACCGAGCACACAAGTACCTCATTAGCTCCTAAGCTTTTCGGCGAGCTAAAGGGTGTTAAAGACTGGCATTCCCACATAAACTGTGGCTGGCACAAGTTAACACTGCCATTAAATCAAACTATGCTTGAGAAAGAACAAATTAACTGTGACTAATTGTGAGCCAAATGAGTTCTTAATTATTCCCTGGATCACCATCAAACACAAAAGCACAGATTATTTGCTGCTTAGCTTTTCTATCCTTTGGAACCTAGTGCGATTTAAGGAGTATCTGTCATGAAACAAAACACCTATGTGAGCAGACTGTGTATGGAAGCAACTAGGGATGCACCAATACCATTTTTACCAGACTAAATACGAGTACCGATACTTTTCCTCAAGAACTCGCCGATACCAATTACCGATACTTTTTTGTGTGTGTGTCATATGACAGTTTTTCTAAAACAATACAGACTGATGATAATAGGACAGTGGTTGAGCGCCAGGGCCGAGTCATAGCTGTGACCACTATGACCCAGGTAGTACTGCCACTGACTCCAAGCTGCAGAGGGACTACAAATCTTAGCAATATATTAAATAGCAATGCAGAATGGCACTGGCTATAGAGGACTACAAATCCCAGAAATGCATTATACAGCAATGCAGAATAAAATGATGCTACATACTCTGTGTTGCTTACCAGGGCTGTGCGGTGTCTCAGGAGGCTGTGCGACATGTCACCAGGGCGATGTATTACTAGGGCTGTGCGGTGTATGTCACCAGAGCTGTGTGTGGCCTTTCATCTGGGCTGTGTCAGGCATCTCACCAGTGTGAGCGGCGGGAGGAGGAAGGAGGTGTACTGTGGCCCGACCAGTGCTGTAAGCAGGTCCTCACAAGGCTGCCGTGAGGTCCCCGACAAGTGCAGGACCTTACGGCAGCCGTATTGGTTTGAAAATTTAAAGCGGTGGTATCGGCACTTAGAATCGGGGAATTTTTCTGAGTATGAGTACTCGTGAAAATGTCTAGTATCTGCACCGATACCAATACTGGTATCGGTGCATCCCTAGAAGCAACCATTTCCGCTCTAGTAAGCTATGTATTAGCTCTAAGGAGTCATTGACCCAAAGCATCTATATATGTTATGGGTTGGGGAATAGTTGCATCCATCACAGTTGCTCACACAGGTAGTTTGCTTTGTGACAGCTTTTTTAACAACTCATACAAGAAGTAAATAATTCTGCTGTTAGATATACTGTATGCATAGGCAGAACAACATCTCCAAAAATTAGTAGGCAGTTAAAGCAACCCTGCTGCTATATACACACACACACAAATATTCGGCTAACAGCAGCTCATATAAGGAGATTACTAATACCCACCTGTCCAGCGGGCAGGGAATCCAGTCTTCACACTTTTTTAAATCTATGGCTACCGCCCTGGTAGCATGGACCCTGGTCCCCCACTGCACATTGTGGTTTTCCCACCAGCCACTATGTTTATATCCACTTGAACATGCTGCTGATAGCTAAATATTTTTGTGCATAAAGACAGGGTCACTTGAAAGTGGACTGCAAGAGTTAAGTGCTCATTTGTGTCTTGGTTAAAAAAAAAAAAAAGTTACACTCACCCAAAGCTCCGAGCTGGCTTTTTCTTCGACCGGTCTTTTCAGTGTCTTTCCCCTTCCTCTGGAATGGTCTAAGGTCGCATACATCTTCAACATCTACATACTGTGTAAAGCAGGGGTAGAAAACCTCCGGCCCTGCAGCTGTGGTGGAACTACAAATCCCATGAGGCATTGCAAGATTCTCACAGCCACAGACATGACTCCCGAAGAGAGATGCATCATGGGATTTGTTGTTTCACCATAGCTGGAGTGCCGGAGGTTTGCTACCCGTGGTGTAAAGGCATGAGGTGCTGAGGAAGATTCCAATGCTGCTGTGGAGCAGGAGACAGGCTGGAGGGAGCGATGTGACAGCTCGCTGGCTCAGAGCTTTGGGTGAGTATAATGGTTATTTTTGTCCCTAGACACAAACAAGCACTTAAATCTTGCAGTGAGGGGGTAGCCCCACTGCAAGGGTTAATACGTTTTCCTGGAGTTCTTCTTTAAAACAATTTTAGATATATTGGGGAAGGGTAAATTAGGCTCTCTGTTTTTTATTGCTATCTCTATCCACACTCGGCAGATATATTCTAACTGTTTGCACTGATGACCACTGTCTTCTGAAGAGAAAGCGAGGGGGAATTCAAAATTTTACAACATGAATAGATGGAATAACTTCTAATGGGGACACTTGTTCCAATGACAATTATCAAAAAGAGTGATTTCCCTTTATTTGGAGATGTCCAGGACAGGAAATAAAGAACGGAGAAAATGACAGCAGAAAAAAGCAATCTTTTTTACATGTTGATTTATATGCCGGAATGAAATGACTCCATCTTTAAACCTTGTATCGAATCCATGCCCCATACAGCACAGATCACAAAGTCAATGCTTATATAGCAACTACTTTACTTCGGGTCCAGAGTAACCAACTCCCTGCACTAGGGATACACTATATTGCCAAAAGTATTGGGACGCCTGCCTTTGCACGCACATTAACTCTAATGACATCCCAGTCTTAGTCCGCAGGGTTCAATATTGAGTTGGCCCACCCTTTGCAGCTATAACAGCTTCATCTCTTCTGGGAAGTCGTCCACACGGTTTAGGAGTGTGTCTATGGGAATGTGTGACCATTCTTCCAGAAGTGCATTTGTGAGGTCAGGTATTGATGTTGGACGAGAAGGCCTGGCTCGCAGTCTCCGCTCTAATTCATCCCAAAGGTCTTCTATCGGGTTGAGGTCAGGACTCTGTGCAGCCCAGTCAAGTTCCTCCACCCCAAACGCGCTCATCCATGTCTTTATGGACTTTGCTTTGTGCAGTGGTGCGCAGTCATGTTGGAACAGGAAGGGGCCATACCCAAACTGTTCCCACAAAGTTGGGAGCATGAAACTGTCCAAAATGTCTTGGTATGCTGATGACTTAAGAGTTCCCTTCACTGGAACTAAGGGGCCAAGCCCCACCCCTGAAAGACAACCCCCCACCATAATCCCCCCTCCACCAAACTTTACACTTGGCACAATGCAGTCAGGCAAGTACCGTTCACCTGGCAACCACCAAATCCAGACACGTCCATCGGATTGCCAGACAGAGAAGCGTTATTCGTCACTCCAGAGAACAGGAATCCACAGAGTCCAGTGGCAGCGTGCTTTACACCACTGCATTCGACGCTTTGCATTGCACTTGGTGATGTAAGGCTTGGATGCAGCTGCGCGGCGATGGAAACCCATTCCATGAAGCTCTCTACGCACTGTTGTTGTGCCAATCTGAAGGCCACACAAAGTTTGGAGGTCTGTGGCTATTGACTCTGCAGACAGTTGGTGACTTCTGCGCACTATGTGCTTCAGCATGTGCTGACCCCACTCTGTCATTTTACGTGGCCTACCACTTTGTGGCTGAGCTGCTGCTGTTCCGAGTTGCTTCCACTTTATTATAATACCACTAACAGATGACCGTGGAATATTTAGTAGCAAGGACATGTCACGGAACACCTGAATTCAATGATTTGGAGGGGTGTCCCAATACTTTTGGCAATATAGTGTATATCGTGCCAACTAACATGGAAAATGTACAGTCCCCAGTGCACATTCCTCTACTGTACAATATTACATAAAAAAACGCACTCATAGCTTACACAACTTACACATTTTCCTTGTATGTTACAGCTGGATAAGGTTGTGGAAAAGCATAAGGAAACTCATAAAAGAATGCTGGAACAGCTGCTGCTGGTGGAAAAATCACAAAGAGAAACTCTGTACGATCTGGAGGATGAGAAGAAGAAGCACACAGAATACATGGAGAAGAGTGATGAATTCACCAACCTACTGGAGCAAGAACGAGAAAGGTAGGACTTAATTCCTTGAGTCAGTGAAACAATGGAGCAATGTATGCAATACAGGTTACATCCATCCAATCATATTGCTACAACTTCGAACATCACCAGGTGACTCCTCTTGCCAAAACATTGCTAATGTTGCTGCCAGATCTTGCTATAAGTGTCACCGAAAACTGTACAAAGCTAGAATGTGATTCAATTCACAGATATCCACTAAAACAAATGTTTTTCTCACTGAGATGCAAACATAACCATTAAAGCATGTGGAATCCATTTAAAAACAATTTGTATAGCCATTCACCTTGCAAATCTCTGTGCCCGTTCATTTTGTGTGAATAGAGGCAAAAATTAAAGTTCTTAGTATATTTTCTTTTCCGATGTAATGTTATACCACATTATAGCCACTAGATGGAGCTGAAGAGCATAAGATAGGTATTTATTTCCTATGCTCCTCAAGTCCATTGCAATGTAATACTGCATTATGGTCACTAGAGGGAGCTGAGGAGCATGAGAAATAACTACTAATTGCCCAAGCTCCTCAGTTCCATCTAGTGGCTATAATGCAGTATTACTACATTGGACATGAAAAGGAAATATACAAAAAACTTTTGTTTTTGCCTATGTACGTACAGCTCAAATGTACATATAGACCCCCTACGTAAAACCAAAACAATTTTTACATTTTGGATAGAGCAGGGGATGGCTAAAGTAATTTTTATTCACATTGGGGACATTTTCCCTTCACTTCCTGTCCTAGAGACGCAACAGGAAGTTAGAAAAAATCTCCCCAAAGTGAGGGGAAATTCCCTCTTGTATGGAAACAGGCGCCCCCTCACTTCTTGTTCTGGTGGCAACACTAAAATTGCAACCGGGACAAATTTAAAGGGTGAATCTACCCAGACGGACACAGCAAAAAAAAACAAAAACGTATTAGATACTCTAACCCCTCACCACTCCATATCCAAATTTAAAAAAAAAAAGTATTGCCTTTACGAAGAAAAGACAATATATCAAACAGTATAGCTGGAAATGATCTACCGGTATTCATCTATGAGGTGTGTATATAACATGTGAAATATCAGACCCTTGTGCTATGGTTTCCTGAACTTTTTACACCTACTCTATAGACTAAATATCTGTTTGCTGTTCTGTAGGCCCTTTGCTAAAGATCTCAATTATGCAACCATGAACCAGTTATACCCAAATGATGATTTATGAAACAACTAGATCCTTGCTTTTGTTATTTTTCAAGCTAACATTCGTGCAGTAGAAGGAATTGTGTGAGACTGATGAATTACAGAAAGAAGATACTTACATGAGTTTTAATGAAGTAGTCAACATGAGAATCTTCTATGACATTTACAATGTAGTATACCTACAGTGGATGGGGGGCCTGGGGCACACTAGCTCGGGTCTCCAAGGCTGGATTTAGCCTAGGTAGCTACTCTCATGCTTGGCAGTAGGACATTTTGGAGCCTTAGCATGTATATTTGTCCTTTATGGGACTTCAGATCAACACTACAATTAGTGGAAATCATCAGAAGACTCCTGCCACATAGGTGAATGTGCTGCTATTTCTGTGATACTATCATCTCATATATTGGCTTGGCTTCTCCAAAGCATGATCCTGACCTTGTACACATGACGTGTGACATTGTTGATAAACGTATGTTTGGCTTATGGGTAGGGACTTTGTGTGTTGGCACTTTAGAAATGAAAGAAGGTGAAGATGTTAAGATTAAAGTATAACTGGTGCAGTTACACTTATTGGGCTTCAGATGTCTGTCCCCAGCCACCCTCCAAGTCTTGGCTGTAGTGACTGCATTATTCGTCTTTTTTTCAGGCTTTATTTCCTTTATTTTCACCTGGCAGTTCTGTGAATAATGCAATATTGCCCACGCTACCTCAACTATATCCATGGAGAGCTATGGATGTCACCTAGGCTGAACCTCAAATATGTCTTCCACTCCACATTTTCATTATATGGGGGAGGGGGGACTGTTAGTTTACAGAAGGAAGATAATATTGTTAGTGTTTTTAGTTCAGCTCACAGGAAGTAACAAGGGCACTGCATTCCTGGCAGGTATTTTTCAATTTTGCTGAAAGACAAAACAAAAAACGATTGCAGCCACCACATGCAAGGACTGGTGAGCCCCAATCCATTAAACTTTGGTTCTTGGATTTGGATATCCTTTAACCAACACCAATTAGTATCCATATGTAATAAGTAATTTGCTTTCCGTCCCTATTCACCACACCCACACTAGGTAATCTGAGGTTTATCCTTTCTTTGCTCAACCCCTGTATGCAACATACAGAGGTTCCCAATGCTTATAATCTGCAATAGAGCAGTATAATTGTCATCAGGTTCCACCATATTATCTTACCAAGGCAGGGTTCCTTCTCTCACTAATAACTTGTCATACCTCTTCTGCCAGGAAATTCCAACATATAAAATCTAAACTATCATCTCAAAGAGCTCAGTGTATTATAAATGTTGTATATCCCTAAGTGTGACCGAAGATAAGACAGTATGCTTACTGTATATAACATTATCAGCAGCAATCAGCAGTATATAACACTTAAAGCGTTTCCTCTCTGGTGGATTCCGGGCGAATGCTACTGCACGTTTATATTGTGGGATTCAGGAATGGCTTCCTTGCCATTTAATCATTTTTTCTTGTCAGTTGTTGATATTCCTATTAAATGTATAAAGTTTTAGCTTCCAACAGTAGCAAAATATCATATGGAAAATCTATGTCTACATACTTAATGAAGACTTCTGTCAACATCCTCTTTCAACAGACCCCAGAAGCTTGACCCATATAAAAAAAGATTCAATAAAAGCATAGAAAAAAATCCAGATGATCTTATTAGCCTTAAAATTCTCTATAAAATGTGCCTGCCATGTAGTTGTACAAAGTTATAACTTCAGTAAAGCCCAAATAGAAAGGCATGGGATTAAAGGACAGTAATCTTGCCTTGACGCATTGGAGGTTCCAGGTTTCATCAGCCCTATCTGCACACAGGCTGTATATTTTCTATGTATACCCAAATATTTCCTCCGGTTATTCTAGATTCATACCAAAAAAACTTTTTTTTAATTTGATATCCCCTAGACTGCAGGCAGCCAGACCAGATAGCTTGTAGAGATGCCGAGAAAACCATAAAGCCCAGGAAGCATTTGTGTACAAACAGTGACTTTAGTTCCACATCTGGAACTGACCCTTTGCATTTCTCATTACACTTTAGGGAAGCTTTCCATTAAAAGGACCAATAGTAGGCTTTGGAAGGAGACAAGGTCAAGCGTGACTTCAGAAATAAAGTCACTATTTGTATACAAGAGCTCCCTGGCCTTCAGGGCTTGGTGAAAGCTCTACCATGTCTCTGACCATTCATGCAGGCATCCGTGCGGCTAACATGCAGTTTTTAGTGAGCATAAACTCTGCATATGCATTTTCTCACATGTTTAGAATAAAGCCTAAGTTTATGGCAGGTTTACTTTAAAGGTATCCAACTCCATAAACCTGGAATATATATTTAATCAGCTAAAGCTCAGAATAATATTGCCGATATATGTGGTATAGGTCAAAAGTTTCAACATTTCTGGTTATACAGAGCTCCGAGCAGTTTACTTCTATGACATGTTTAATTTTGTTCAAGTGGTCTACAACGCTGGCAATGATCTACAGTGAGCAATGTGTTAAACGGTAACAAGGTTATTAACTCGAATAAGACAAAGTGATTATTTGGCTCAGGCAGCTTCCTAAATACAACTCAGAGTTTGGAGCAGGAGCCACAAATTGGCTGCCAAGTTCTCCTCCAATATGGATTTTCAATCCTGTGAAAACAAAAAACGCAAATCAGCACGAAGCATGAAAATGGCCGGTGACCCCTAACTCAGCCTGCATGACTGCACAAACATAATTAGCGTAAGGATCCTAATTTCCCCTCATAGAACAGGAATGTGTAATGGTAAGCTATTGTCGGGGCAGGTAGTCCAGAGGCTAGACCTTGTAAGGAAGTTACACATGGGAATAGTGCTGAATAATCAAAACCCCATCAAGAGGCAAAACAACGAAATACAGATCACAGTAATTACACTCACTTCCCACTTTAAAGTGTTTCTTTCACGAAATGTAAGAACTTAATAGTAGCTGACATGTTCATATTGGCCTGTTATGTGTTGCACTATTACACATTGCTGTGTATGCTGGCCAGTGATGTAGTGCCCCAGCTCTGCCCCCCAAATCCTGGGCCATTCTGATCAGGCACCACTCACCTATAGGAGCATTCCCTTTCAACTTATCAGCAATTTAGTGAGCTTATTATGCATGAAACTACTTGGTACTTTTAGGAGTTTTCACTGCATATAGCTTTGAGTTAAAGTAGACATTTCATCAGATATATTATTTCATGTTAAACACATTCATATTAAATAATGCACGATTGTAATGCTGGAAATAAATGTATTATAAAAATACCCATCAATCGTGGATGCAATCCTTACAAAAGATCTTTTGCTCAAAAACAATTGTTTGCCACAACATAAAATTACTAATCTGGAGTGGAATTCATGGATTAACCACCAGAGACGATGTGCTCATTTATTAAAAGAAAACCAGATTTTTAAAACGGCCATTACATGAAAATCGCTTCTAAAAGATGATTCTTTCTATAAAAGTAGTCATTATGTTGAATAATCATACCAAGAGGTCTGTTTATAAAGCAGAGAATGTGTCTGTCACAAACATTCCTTGTTCCTGTACCCGAGAATGTTTGTGAAAGTCACATTCTCTGCTTTATATTGTACATATATATTGTACACAGCTCTGAGTGTATGGCCAGCATAATGCATTCAGGTATGCACTATTCCTCAAAGGGGTGATAGTTCTGCTTATGAGAATACCTTCACCCTACTGTCTCCTGATAAAGCCATCACCATCCTTGTTGAGCCACGACCCATCATCCTGATATAGTCCGGACTACCTGGGCAGAGATGCTGACTC